CCTTAAGTTGAATCGGCTTGCTTTCAAAGCGCTATTTAAAGCGCCCTTCTTTCCCCGCGCTGGCTGTTGTCACCGTGTTGATGATGTCAGCGACGTGGTTTAATTGGGCGCGGTTTAGTCGAGCGCGGTTTTGACGGGTCACATTTATTACAAACTTAGTTCTTAAGTGGTTCTTCCCCAGGCCTTAACTCCTTTTAATATGGCTGAATGTGTTATGTGATATGTGATAAATTCTTTTTAATTGTGTGTATTATCATATGCTTTGATATAAAATGTAAGGGTTTGTAAAGTAAAAAAGCAGCTTTATTTGATTAAATACTTCTAATAAAATGACAGTATTTGTTCTATTGTTTTTTTTAATTGGCAATTCCCTTCCTTCCCTCCTTTTCTCCTTTTCTCTTTTCCTTCTTTCCTTCCTTTCTTCCCTGCTTCTGTGGGAAGCCTTCAAGGTTGTCAAGTGATACAGAGATCTATAAAAGAATCAAAGAGATCTTGACTATTCTGTGAATTAGGTATGAGATAAATTTCTGGACATACCTCTAGACTAAAACAAGTATTTTTTTTTCCATTTGAAGGCAGATGTAATGTTACACATCAGTTGGTTTATTTTAGGATTGCCAGACTTCAGATTTTAGCCTTCTTCCCTCAGGGAAGGGATAATATTTCTGGGGAATGGCTAGAATAAAAGAAGATGATTTTTGCCCATGAAGTATCACCAGACTTTATTCCTTGACTAAAGTTCTTTAGCCTCTGACAAGCTAGCAAGTTATAACGCATCTTATATAGGGACTGGAATATTACAGAAAATCAGATCAGAGCTGAGTTAGAATGAAACTGGACATTGCCTACCCTAAAAAAAAAAGCTCATATGAGCTTTTTTTTAAGACTCAGTGAACAGATAGAACGGTGGATGGAAGTACTGGACCACTTCAAGAAGAGCAGGAGTAGATTGGGACTGGAATCAGCAGGGAGGCAAGCAGACTGGCAGAGCAGAGAACAAGGCAAGAGAAATGGCTGAAATTCCATCTCAAGCTATCTTTGTTGATCTTAGGCTAAGCACTACAAAGATTGCTGAGGCCATGCACATGTTCATATATCATCTGGAGCAGTGGTGGGATTCAAAAATGTTTACTATCAGTTCTGTGGGTGTGGCATGGTGGACGTGGCATGGCTTGGTAGGGGTTCACCGACAAATGCATGCATGACAAAAGCATGCCGACAAAACC